TTTTTTTTTTTTTTTTTTTGGTATTTTTTTTTCGGGGGAGCTCTGGGGAATTTCAATGGTGAAGTCCTCTGGAAATCTTCAATAATTGTTGTTGATTGCAGATGTGTCTAGTAGTTCCCATTGATTTAGCTTGGAAAGCGGGGAGAATGGCGCTAGGCTTACCGCACCGTGACGTCACTGCTGGGAGATGGCAGGAGGGAGGGGCTACTATATTTGGGCAAAAATGGCCGCTCCCAGACTCAGGGATTGCAGTGAATATTGTTTTTTTTTTTTGTTTTTTTTTTTACTAATTAACACTAAATTCATTAAATCTCTGCAATCGTATCAGTTTTAGGTATAAATAATGATCCATTGATTCTTCGCTGACTGAACTTTTCCTTTAACAGATAATAGATCATTTGAATGAAGGTTTCAGGAACATCTGGGTCACAGGAAGGAAAAGCAGAAGAACCACAAAGCGGACCTCGTTGGTTTGGACCCTTCAGTCCTTTTATTCACAGTGAAAATCCGTCTGGGTTCTAATGAGAACAGAAACCAGATCTTGGTCCAAAGCTTCAGTCCGATTATTCTGGAAACCAGAACCAGGGTTTGAAACGTCCGATTCAGTCAAACGGGTCATTAGTTCTTCTTGGAGAACTCTTTCTTCCCGCCGGCAAAGTTCCGGACTCTGTGGATCTGAGCCAGCTGGTTCTGCATGGTCTTCATAATGTCCACGTGGTCGGGGATGTGCACGTAACGCACGTTCCTGCCCGTGACGAACAGATCCTGCAGCCGGGTGCTCTGTCCTCGCCGGTCCCGGTACAGGACGTCCTCCAGACGGATGTTCATGAAGGCGTCCACGCTGACCACGCGTCCCCGGGCCGCGCACTCGTTCCTCAGGTCCACGGTGGTCTCCTGCCCCTGCAGACCCTGCAGCAGAATCACCATGCTGTTCTCTGCGATCGTCCGCTCCCGAAGGGAGGACGCCACGGCGCCCGAGGGGGCGGAGCCACCCGCCTCCGACTCCATGGACTCTGAACGCCAGGAACGTCTGAAGGACACAGGACAGGAAGCTGTTAGAGAAGGTTCCAGAGGACAGACCGCTTCTAGGTTCAGCTTCTATGTTCAGGTTCTACATTTAGGTTCTATGTTCAGGTTCTATATTTAGGTTCTATATTTAGGTTCTATGTTCCGGTTCTATATTTAGGTTCTATGTTCCGGTTCTATATTTAGGTTCTAT